GGACCTGTTCATGTGAATGTTCACAAACAGCAATTAAAAAAGGCACAAATATGACTGAATCACAAAGCCATTCAGAATCCAAATGAATGATCACAAATGTTCTTTCTTCAGTAATTGACAGGTTCTACCATTAATATTTTATTACATTATGGAGGCTCTTAGTATTGACTCCATAGTTAAAGTAGAGTTCTAAAATGGGCTTAGAATGAGCATAAAATCCTGCTTTTCTCTAAAGTAATTGTCTTCTTGATGTATAATTCCACAAAGTGTTAGTTTTTATGGCCTTTGAATTTTCTATTTAGATTTTATTTTATTTCTCATCATAAGTTTTTAGAAGGAAGTCTTTGAAATTGGGTTCTGGACAAAATTTGTCCTTGGCAGTATTCCCTTTCAATGTTGACTGACATTTAAAAAAAAAAAGACTATTTTCCTACATAAAATATGATTTTAAAAGAAACCCAATTTTGCATCATTTTTAGCCATTACACTTATTCATTTGAGCCGAACCTATATGCTCCAGTGGTTGATGATTGAGAAAGTTTATTCACTATGCGTATAAACTTTATACACATAAATGTGACATGCACCAGTGCATTAAGTACTTATACCAGTGCAAAAACTATACATGCATAAATTTTATGTGCTAGTGCACACACAAAACGTTCTCTATCAGATAAAATCTTCTCACCAGGAACTACACTTTTCTGTCAGATTGTATCCTGCAATGGAGAAGGATTTATGTGGAGCTGAACATAAATATGTGCCATTTATGGGCAGCTGGCACATAACCCAGAAGACTTGCTGATGGAAAATAATCTTTGTCAGTTGCTGCACTTCTACCTCCATGGGTCTGCCACTGCCATCCCTCATTCGCCTGCCTCATCATTCAACTCTTCATCTTCATTTGAGCATTAAAACTCCTTAGAAATGAATCCACCAAAACCTCTGTTGTTCAGTCAGGGTTACTACATACATAGTATACCAGTCAGAAACCCATAAAAAAGCATGGAAATGAAAAGTTCTATTCTATTCTACACAGGCTTTTATACTGTGCTCATCACTGTAATATCTTAAGCCACATAACAGTACATTACCTCTACTCCTTAACCCACAAGCACACACCTTACCATTACCACAAAAACCTATTTGCCTCAGATCATGTACTGTAAGTCTGCCTCCCATAACCCCCTTTACCAAACTTCCCCACAGCCCAAAACACCATTATGCCAAACATCTGCAAAGAACAGTATTGTGAGTGGGTAGTTTGGTATTGTGAGTGGACAATGTTATGATTGCACTGTCTGTGGTGTATGGTAATTGTGGGGATGGTATGTGGCTGTGGATGGAGAAATATTGTTAGGTGGCTTCCCTGTCATTTTCATGCTTTTGTGAGTTTGTGTCAAGTATGTTGTGTGTGTAGAAACCCTAACTGCTTGACAATTATGTTAATTGTTTATTAATAAATATGGATATATAGATTTGTAATTTATATATGACTAATATGTATACACACATATTCAAATCTTAATACAATTTACAGCAAACAGAAAACCTTGAATTTTTTTACATCTATTAAATTTTTTTTCAGGATTAATCCTTTCCATTTTTAATAACTATTCTTAAAATACATTATATATTATATATACAACAGGTCTTTAACACATGCATAAAAACAACAAAGCAAGAATTATGTTACAAGAAAGGTAAACATTAAAAAAATCACTAATATTAATGACGTTTAGCATTCTGGCTTATGTGTAAACTTGACATTTTCATAAATTCAGTGAAATTACAGTGTCAAGCCTCAGTTGTGTTTACCTTTATGGCTGGCTTTCATATATTTGTACAGCACCCTTTCCACCACTGCTTTTCATTGCCCCCCAAATATGAGACAAGTAAGGTGTTTGGACAGTTGGGTATATGAATATTAATATTTAAAATTACTTATAATAAATTAAAAGCCATTTTTAGAATATCTGGGTAGAAATAAAGCTTGTCTGTCATTGACCAGATGGGAAGTTATCATGTTGCAATATATTATATACACCAGTTCTTGGCTCTTTAAGCCTCTTGCAAATTGAAATGTACAGTGGTGTGACTCACTCAGAGGAAAAATAAAATGTTGCAGACATTCCCTACAGCCACTGAGCTAGCACCAATAAATGCACTGAGAAGTTTTTGTATTGGACATATGGAGAGGCATATGTTCTCATCCTCCTAGCTCATGTAGCCATGAACATAACACTAGCCTCATAAAAAAAGAGACAAAAGGTAAACTATATATAAATATCAGACATTTAAATGTTCAGTTTTGTAATCATGGAAGAAAAGAGAAGAGTGATGATTGCCAATAGTAGAGTTACAGGTCCATAAAAAAGCAATTTCTGAATCATCAAACCAAATCACTAAAAGAACATAAATATTCATTAAAACTAGTCACTAAATAGTTTGATAAACAAATGTGTTATTTTTGTTGGAATCTAACATGAAAAATAAATGTGCAAAATTCAACCTTTTTTATTAGACAAACAGAAGTTAACAATGCTTATTTAAAAAAGAAAAAAATTAAAAGCCAAAGAAACATTGTATAAATCAATGTGTACATGTATCGAGAATTCTTAATATATCAAGCTTTCCTTTTAGGTTACTTCTAAAAACAACAAGATGTTTGAGTACATTAAGATCAGATTAACACAATTTCTCACTTTTTCATATCTAACTCCAGCATAGATCTTAGCCATCATAAGCAACACAGCATACTATTATACTGAACTTCTCTTCTGAGATTAACAAATATTTCAGTTGTATGGACTCTGCATTTTCATGGAAGTACCACCAGCTTAGACAGGACAAAATTATAATAATAATTATTATTAATATTTGTTGTGAAGTAGCATCTAGGGACTCCAGTCATGGATCAGTGCCCCACTGTGTGAGGCACTAAACAAACACACTTGTTTTAAACTTTGCTATGAATATGAACACAACTCTTTTTAGAAGCTGAAACTTACGAGGATTAATAAATAGTTAGGATACTTTAATACTACAGTTTTCTGTAGCTTGAATACTTTTTCTTTTTTACTTTTTATTGTTCACACTTCATACATGATATTGGAAAGAGGAAAACTTCCATAATACAAATATACTAGGCAAAATATTCATAGCAAAATTGATAATTCTCAAAATCTGTCCCTTCTACAAGTTGGTGGTACTTCCATCAAAATGTGGGGTATTGCATTGAATTTTCTGAATAGGTGAAAATGTTGTTGCCAAAGACAAGTACTAAGGGCTGGTCTACACTACGGGGGAGGGGGGGCGATGTAAGATACGCAACTTCAGCTATGGGAATCGCGTAGCTGAAGTCGACGTATCTTATTTCAACTTACCTCGGGTCCTCATGGCACGGGATTGACGGCTGCGGCTCCCCCGTCGACTCCGCTACCACCGCTCGCCCTGGTGGAGTTCCGGAGTCGACGGGAGTGCGTTCGGGGATCAATATATCGCATCTAGATGAGACGCGATATATCGATCCCCAATAGATCGATTACTACCCGCCGAATCGGCGGGTAGTCTGGACGTACCCTAAGTGTTTTTAGAGTCTGGTCATATGGATTGTCTCTGTGTGGACAAACAGGCCATGTTGCTTGTGGTAGATTTGCCCTCTTCTTATCTCCCTCCTATTTTCCTATGCCGGCCTACCTCAGAATTCACTTCTTCAGTGTATAGAGTGGTGCATAGAGTCCCATCATTTATATTCTGATAATTTTTGTCCCACACAGAGGTAATACATAAGTCCTGAGTAGTGTCAGAGCAGCTTTCAGCCACTTCCTCAGAGCAAAGCTGCTCTAAAGACCATGTGTGAAATCCTGACCCCCCTGCAGTTAGTGGGAGTTTTGCTACTGACTGAAATGGGGCTTCCTTGCATAGGAGGAATCCTTGGGTAGAGTAAGAGACAATAATAGCTGCTACTCTACACTGCCCTTCTCCCTGTAAGAGGTACAAGGTGTGTTAAGGGCATCTTTTTACTCTGGTCATCCATGGCATAAGTTACATTGTGGGAACTGGCCCAGAATCAGGAGATCACAAAAGTGGCTCAAAGCTGAGGATCTTGGCTATGGTCTTCACTGCAGCAGGCCCTTCCATTTTAGCATAAGTTATTTTAAGAATGGAGCCAGATTCCTTTGTCTTTTCTTTATTGTTTTTAAATACGAAAATATATGTTCTCAGAATAAATATACAGATTTACAAACATCTAAATTATGAAAAATGAAGGGGAAGGTCTCTTAGAAAATGCTAGAAGTCAAAAATAACTTGGGGAGTTATGGGGAAGAGGCAAAGGGATTGGGAGAGGATCGACAATGGGTCTGTGAGTATGTTGGGACCAAAATTAGAAAGGGAATGACAGCACAGCTTGTAACATATGCCTTGTGATACTTGTCATTATATGCAGTGAAGCAGAAAGAGAAATTATTCATTTGCTTTTAAACATGTAGCAAGTTCCCTAAAAAATCAAATATAACCAAGCAATGGAAAATACAGGCATATTTTTCAATTCAGTATTTAAATATCACACCTACTTTTTTGAGCTAGCCCTTTTAATTTCCCCCTAAATTAAATGCTATGAAAATTGTATCTGTGTAGAATTACATGATTGTCAACTATTGTATATTTATATTTTCATGAAACATATACATGAAATATTAAAATATGAAATATTGAAAATAATTCAGATATCTAACATAACATAAATACACTGCTAAAGAGCTACATAATGCACTGCCTTCCTCATGACCTTTCTTACAGATCATGGAAGTTTAAACAGAACACTTTACATCAGATAAAACTTGAAATAAATTCCAAAAAGTGCTTATATATTGTTTCAACTGAATTTTAACTACAATATTTATCTAGGAACACTATCTGCACAACATCACAGCAACATCTAACTAGTATTAACTATCTGATTTTTTTTCTTATTTATATCAACTAGAGATACTCACATAAGTAAAGGAGGACAAAATGGTGTTATGCAAGATAGCCAGTGTAATGGGTGACTGATATTAGGTTTGGAGAAATCTGATGGAAGTAGCTCACCAAAACCATTCTGAAATGTCCTGGAAAAATAAATAGTTTTGAGTTAAAAAGACAAAAATCTCTTTAAGAACAAATATGAAACACGAGAACTAAAAAAGTTTATTTATAACTTATTTGTTTACTCCCATTTGATCAGATGTGAAATTTTAAAAAATCATTTTATTTCTTAGATACTGGTAATTTTTTTGCAGCTGAGTTTTATACATAACTGGCACTGTAACATAGACAGTTAGACACACTGGTTTTATTATATCGTTATTTTTAAATAGTCTCTTTTCAACATAAGATTATGGACTGAAAGTAGGCTAAGTAACCAAACTAAGTTACTTTTTTGTCAATAGTTTCCATTACCCTTATCTTTATAGATAATTAGTAGGGCATGTTGTCAACATTATGAGTAAACTCTGCAGGATCACTACCTTTTGAGGTGGTGATGACATATCTCCTGCTAGACATGCTACCGAGATATCTACTTTGGATTAAATCAGGCAAATTTGGGGTCAGAATCTTTGGCCATGCTTTACTGGCTCAAAACAGATGGAAAGCTAGCTTAGACAAACAGCTAGGATTCCCAATACAAGGAGAATCTCTGATTGGCATAGATGGCTCAGTGTCATCCATTCATGGCCTTCCCAACATAGGGGAACATTCTAGAGAGAAAGCAAGGTGTTGCCAGATTGCACTGGGGGTCCCACTAGTGCTGGCACATATTAGAGCAGCCCTGTGGCTCCTCTAACACATGCCTAGGGACTATGCCCCTTTGCCTCCCCTTCCCCATCTCTCATGTGTGTCAGGGCAGCTCCGGCACACTTGAGAGGATGTAGTTCCTTCTCTCCCTCCCATTCCTCATGTGGAATTCTCATTTCAAAAACTTTCACTTCCGGTTTTTAATATTTCTTTTTCACATACACTCTTGTGCATCTTATACTGTTTCTTTCTGGTCTTCGCTGTTCTATAAGAAATGGGTGGGATTTTCTAAAATGACTTAATGGTATCAGATGCCTTTGAAAATCCTATTGTATATAACCAGTACTATCTTGCAAAATCAGTCATGATAGGTTCATTTTCTCTCTGATGTAAAACCATTAAGCCAGATCCTTGTTGCTAAGTGCCCTTTGCACTGCTCCAGCAGTGAAAAGGCACTTAAAGCCACCTTCAGCAAATAAGGGACGATTCTCATGGGACAAATGAATCTTTGGTTGGCATAAAACTGGCTTTACACCACCTGCTCCTCTAACTTGGCAAATGGGACAGAAGGGGGCATGCCACAGTCAGGGGGTGCTGAACCCTGGGAGACTAATATAACGGCTACAGCTGGCATAACTCAGAGCAGCCTGGAGTCTGCTTTAAATTACACCAAGGTAGTTTCTCTTTCCTCAGCTGCACCAAGTGTGATCTTAGGGCTGTTCAGGATCTTGGGAACTGACTTCAATGTAGTTACGCCAGGGGTGAATTTGGCCCAATGTGTCTAAGGAGAAATTACACACCAATTTCCTTCTTCCTTCTACTTTGTTTCAAGTGCTACCAAAATTTCCATAATGTCTCTCTGATCTGAACAATTAATAACTGAAATTATAAATACTGCCACATCATTACTGTGTGTGTATTTTTTTTTAAAAAGCCTAGGAAATTAAAAGGAGTGAGGGCAGCCAGCACTTGGTTTCTGTTTAAAATTTTCAAATTTCTTTCAGAATAAAAATCTGAGCTTTAGTTGGGGGCAATGGCTAGAGTAAACAATATAACTATTTTAATAGTCTCATTTAGTTCAGAAATTTTCTTCTACACCATAATAGTAGCTCTCCTGGGATGCTCCAAATTCAGGGGTAATATAATATTCTGTAATTCTCTAAGCTGAACAGTGCTGGTTGTTATTGGTAACATTTATTATTTGTATTGCGTTAGCACGTAGGAAATCCAGTTATGGACCACCGCTCCTATTACTTAATTATACATATCTAGACTCTGCCTCCTAATCTAGAAAGAAGGATCAGCCCTTCCCTCTAGGGCAGTGGCTCTCAACCTTTCCAGACTACTGTATCCCTTTCAGGAATCTGATTTGTCTTGTGTGCCCCCAAGTTTCACCTCATTTAAAAACTACTTATTTACAAAATCAGACAAAAAAATACAGAAGTGTCACAGCACACTATTACTGAAAAATTGCTTACTTTCTCATTTTTACCATATAATTATAAATCAATTGGAATATAGATATTGTACTTACATTTCAGCATATAGAGCAGTATAAACAAGTTATTGTCTGTATGAAATTTTAGTTTGTACTGACTTTGCTAGTGCTTTTTATGTAGCCTGTTGTAAAACTAGGCAAATATCTAGATAAGTTGATTTACCCCCTGGTAGACCCCGTATACCCTTTGGGGTATATGTATCCTTGGTTGAGAACCACTGCTCTAGGGTACTTCATCACCCCAATGTTTTGTAGATTTGGGTGTTTTTGTTTGTTTGTTTGAAGTTTATCCTATTAAAATTCCTTTTTCCAGTCCCACTAGATAAAGTTTAGAGGTACAGACAAATTGTTGATAAAGTCACTCCCTAGTTTTTAGTGACTCCACACACACTTTAAAAAAAAAATCCATCCTCTCATCCATGAGTGGGGAAATGAACCATAACACTCATCTTGAATTTCCTAGGAAAAAGTGGCAATTAAAAAAAAATCAATAGGAGTTTTGCCACTGTCTATAATGCGAGCATGATCAAGCAGCTTTGACTGGAAAGGGTGGCATATACCGAGCAGGGTACACTACAAAAGGGTAAGGGATCATTACAACAGTAACATTTAAGCTTCCTCAATAACACACATGAAGTCTTCTGAAGGCTAAGCATAAAGATAAGATTGTAAAGTAGGTAAAGGAAAATAAAAATATTGTCACAAGGAAACTGTAGAAGTTTTAAAATGCTGGCAATGTCCAAGACAAATTTTTACTCGCTGTAGCTGTGTATAGAAATAATTTTTTCCCCCAATTTAGCCAAATAGGCTGTTACACCCCTTAAAGAATCTGCAGTAATGGAAATAGCAATTATTTACTTTGATGAAAACAGGATTCCTTAATGGAAATCATGATTGATAAAGTCTGAGTAGTAATAAGCGGACACATTTTCTCTGCTGGTAGTATATGAGCTGTTGGGGAGATTTTTGGAATACAGCAGTTTGTTAAATACAGTCCTTGAGAGCTCTCTTAATGTCAAGCAGGTGGCAGAGACTTTTGGATTCTGAGTTATGAGGTTTGGGAGAGCAAACTTCTAGGCAGATTTCAAAATTGATGTGGAAACCTGTGATTGCTTTAAGGAAGCACATTGTCTAAATGTAACATCATCTTTAAATATTATAAAGAATGAAGTGTCTGCTAATAATGCAATAATCCTTTGGTGCCAGCAGTTCTCAGTGTCCACTGCTGGCAATGTAATTCTTGCCAGAAAGAAAATGTAACTCTGTGCCAGACAGTTTAATTCAACTGCTCTTCTGACAGAAGTCTAGTAATAGCTAGTAGAAAAGTTGTTTTGACTATAAGATATATTAAGGCAGCTGCCTATAGTCTCAAAGTGGTGGATAGCATCTGTGAGAGTATTTAATACCACAGCAAGATCCCAAGTTACAGTAGTTTTATTCTCCCTTAGAGTATGACAAGGTGAGAATTGATCTTGCAAGCCTCAATGCAGGTGTGAAATGATGAGATGCCTACAAGATACACATGGTGTTTCCTTGTAGATTTTGAAGGACTTGGTAATCTAAACAATTTAGAATTATGGATAATATGCAGCTGCATGAGTTGTAACTTGTTTTTCTTAAAAAATAGAGGTACTTCCAACTGCTAAACGAAAAGAAAAAAGTTGGAATCTCTAAATACTCCTCTCAGCAGTCATGCTATCATCCTGAATTTTTAATTTGTAATAGCATCTCCTGATGTCTAATACATAATCATCTGAAGGAGGGCAATTAGATCTTTTTCATCATCTTCAGCAACAGAGGGAACTGATGACTTCTTGTCAGCATGAGGCAACTGAAAACCACTCTGCTCTGCTTTGAGCTACCCTAAGTATATCATAGAGGGCAGTCTCTATTTTGAGGGATTAAGTGCAACTTTAATTGTGCATAAACCTTGTGCTGGCCTTCTGAATAGGAGAGAATTTTACTCTGTAAGCAGAGGAGGGAATTAAGGGTACAATTAAATCCACTGCCTTATCCACTGCCTTATCAAGATATACGTGCTGCCAAGGTTCGCTAAAAGCAAATTCTTGTCATGTGAAAATCATGAAGGGAATTCTACATATCTGAGGGTTTCGAAACATCATGAGAATGTTTAGCTGAATACACCACTTCCCTGATGTGGTTTATTGATTTAAGTGCACATCTCAGCTCTCCAAGGAAATACAGATGGTTATTACTATCACTTGGGTATGGGATGTTAGATACATCATTTTGTCAAATTGTTCATGTTAAATTGCTGTGATGTGGCTTGGTCACTTTGTAACATGGTGGACCCACTGGAATCAAGTTTAGAGGCAGGCAGGTTGCATTGTATTTGGGTTTTTTTACATTCTAAGAGGATAATCCATGAAGAATTATCCCGTGTGTCTGGAACTGGTTTTAGTGTTGCAATAGTTGGAGGCTCAGAAGAAAGAGAAGAAAAATGTTCCTCCCTCTGCTGCTAGATTGACTGAATTGTTGTTTAACCAGATCATTTTGAACTGCAGCTAATGAACTGGATAAGAAGTTTATAGAGTTCATTTAAATGAAATTCTACTCTACTAGGAAAATATAATTTATAAATCTTGTATTTTATGGTAATCTGTAGAATGGTAAAAGTGTTCTTTAAACTATTTCGAGGATAAAAACTGTCTTTGGGTTCAATCCTGTAAATTGTTGAGAGCCTCCTGACACATGCTGAATGTCTGAAACAACTTTTGAAGACTGAAAGGTTTACCCATAAAGGATAAAATTCTGTTGTGCATGGTTTGAGACCCACAATTCCCTATCTGGATTATTTTTGATTAATTTGATTGT